CGTCATAACCATAAATAAATGGTCGCCAATATAAAACTTAAGACGTTCCATACAACCTATTTGTCATGAATTGTAAAGAAAAAAAAAGTAGGTCATTATACCTGAAGTCACCTGTACCGTTTACTGACGTGGTTTAATAATGTTATTTCCACAAGAAAACAGACTCAAAAGTCAAATGTCTTGAAGTTCCACTTTCCTTTGCGTGTGAAAATGTCGACGCTTATGACGTACGCCTTGGCAAGCGCTAAGGCGTGAGACAGGAATTGCGTTAAGGTGTCGTGAACACTTCATTCGATCTGTCTCTGCGAACTTTTCACGACAACGAAAGTACAGAAATACCATTAGCGTCTGTCAACAACAACCAAAATAGTTTGGTATGTTCAAAATACTCCTACTTATGCGTGATTGCCAATTAACTTCCTTGAAAATTACAATTTCCTTAGCATGTCTCACGTTTATGTTTGAAACTTATTTCAAATCATTAATGAACTCAAACATAAAATAAAAATTAACTATCATAATTTCCTCTCATAACGCGCCTAAGTAAATATTCGGTATTATATGTATTATATGTTTAACTGTAATGACGCAATAGCCGGATTTATTTAAGACTTAAAAGCAAGAGTTTTTTTCGTGTTTCTATTAAAATAATTGCTTTGTCTAGATCAATAGGAAAATGTTAAAGAATTAAAACAATAAAGAGATTTGTGTGTTGCACAGCAGCGAGGGAAGGCGACAAGGAGTACATTGAATTATCGAACTAATCTACGAAACCTAAACGTGGAAAAAATCTTGGACTCACTCCAAGCAGCTGATTGATGAGGATGGTCATTTCGTACACGGCCAATCCCGAGATTTTTCTTATTATTTAGCAAAGTAGTGGACTAGTCTATTTCTGTGAAGCGAAAAACAAGCCGCCCGCAAAATATGCCGTCGATTTAAAAAAACTAACTGGTAAATTTGTGTAAGCGTATTGTTGTAGATACAATCAAACCAACCGAGTAGATTTCTTAAAACTTCGGTCGTTACTATATTTTGTCTCTCAAGGGACTTGGGCTAAGAATGAATGAGAAGTAATGTTTTGTAACGATATCTAAAACGATTTTATTTAGTTTACGAGCATTTAGATGGCGATAAAACAAGTTGGATGTTGATGTATTTAGGTATTATAGAACATACAAATGCCAATATTCACTTATTGGAAGTGGCGTGTAACTTCTAATTAACTGAATATATTCATCATTTTATTTGCAACATTCTGTAAACCTCGCATATAAAAAATATAAAAGGGAGGGTATTTTCTTCATATTCAATAATGATATTCCGCCAAATCTGGTTGAGACCCCAACCTAGTTGGGAAAAGGCCAGGAAAAAGAAAGAAGATAAATGTAAAGAGGATTGAGCAGCGAACAGAGTTATTCAATGCCGAAAGTCTCGCAGACAAAACCGTGGGTAAAACTTAGTATAATTATAAAACGAAACCGGCACGCGAGCCGGAGCAACAGCCTCAACACTAGGCGGTTAACGGAACCACAGCTGCATGCAACACTGCCTTCGATGCAGACTCATGAAGATTTATGCTAATTAATACAAATTATTAATTTAATAAAACATATCGAAATATAGAACCAGGTAAGCATATGCCTTTCTCTCTTTTACATTTTGTAAGTGTAGTAAGAGAACCTAAGGATTCGGTAGAACATACCTCACTATTTTGAAAGGTTAAAAAGCTTAAAAGACGATTGTGGAAATCTATGGCCTACGCCGATTACACAGAATTTAAACCCATTAATTTATATTTTGGATTTATATTTATATTATGGAACTACTTAGCGCAGACGTCAATTATCAAAGTGTAGCAAAAGATATTATGATGATTACTGAAGTAAAAGTGCTGGTTTTGGTCGGCGTGCAAGCGTGGGTGAGCTGAATGCGCTTAGCGACCAGATAAATAAAACGCCCCACATTTTGCTCAGCTTGGCGGATATAATTCGAAACACGATAATAGAATTAATAACAGCTGCTTCTCAAGAAATAGCTCAGACGTTGACTTGAAGTACAATGGCTTTTATGTACTATATGTACATTTTTATTAAGCGTGTGTTCTTTCTCTATTTTATAGGAAACCGAATGTAAGTATTCAGTATTTTCGTTTCATTTAGAAGAATTTAATACAATAAATAAATGTTACGGAAATCCAAGTTGCAGTTTAAGTGAACAGAAACGTATGCAGTAAATTGTATTGACGTTCGCTGCATCGTGTACCGCAGAATGCTGCTCATGAATATGAGCCCCGAGCGCGGCTTGAAACTAGTCGAGTTTCTCTTCCAAACAGTTGCGTCAATAAGCCGTTAAACATTTTATTTAAAATTTCGTATTCGTAATGTTGTTACGAAATTTAAATTAAAGATAGAATTTAGAATTAAAGTTTTTGTAGTTTATCAATTCAGTTTTAATTCTTTCATAATTTCAAAATAGAGTCTTCAGTTAAGTAGGTAAATTAACTATGTAGAAAGTACATTGACATCTAAACACGACTGAAAATCATATTCAATGGAATTTTATTCTAGATCATATTAAAATTTGATATTAGGTTATTTTATGGCAAAGCTTCAAAGATTTTCAGTTTCAATATAAATTTCATAGTTTTTAATAAATTTGTAAATTGGACAGTCGGTGTACATTTTTTCTTATTAAATTTATCAATAAACAGCCAACATAAACATAGTAAATTAGATCGTGGTATTCGAAGACACGATCCGAGCTCGGGAGAGAAGTGTCATTAGTACACCTGTCACGTAAATTAGTTCCTAGCAATTTAAGGCACCGGAGAATTCTGCTTGCATATATATTTATTGTACAGCAGAAGATGTATTAGTTAGTGAAAGCAAGAATTTTGCATACATTGCATAGTCCACGTTCTAATCGTTTTCAGCAATGTTACTTCTATCAAAGGTATGATCATTTTTCCGGACGTGTATAGGTGGTAAATGTTTATTTAAATAGTTTCAGTGCAATCTACAAACATACCTAACAACAATAGCGTCGCGTCACGCAGATAGCATTTCAGGGAGTGCAACTAGTCACGTAATACTGTCCCCAGCCCAGACTTACCGAAATATTGTGCCAAGCATTTAGTTGTTCAGAAAGAAGGAACGTGAAGGTTAATTACCTGAAAATATAAAACAAACAATAAGTAAACCAGTGTACTGCTACGGCCTAAATAAAACAACTATAATTGTACGGAAACAAATTGTTTGTATAATGTAAACATTCCTTACACCAACTATGTTCAAAATTGTATACTGGCGCAAATTGGCAATAAGTTCTATATAGTGCAGGAACTCCCAGTACATCGCAAACAAAGTAAAATAATAAAGCTGGAGCTAAACAGATTTAACTACAGTAAAAATGTCTTCAGTAAATTCAGTTGGAAATAAAAATATGTGAAACATTTTCATTTATAATTTTAGTACCAATAAATTTTAAATGGAGCAATTCTCGACATTGTTTTTTTGCCGATCGAAAGTAATCACCGCGCTAGACTTTTTTCAGGGGCTCGAGCTTAAACTAGTGTTCCCGGCGCAGTTAGTTTACGATAATAGAATTATGGCTCGGTTGAAGGTTACCCAATCGAATACAACTAACTCAACAGGAATATAAATTCACAGACGGATTAGGAATGCAAATTCTTCCGATATAAAAATAATCTTAATAATACATCACTATGCGTTGGCAAAAGTTTAAACGTTTCTCTGGCGCTTGAATACGATTGTCAGAAAGCAATACAGTAATTGGGGAGAACGCAAATAGACAAAAGTTCGTAAACAAGTTTGACAGCATCGCCTGATACGACCCACCTACGCTACAGTCTGCACGAGCAAAACCCTAAAGAAACATTCAACAACATTGTGTCCGACCACACCATGAAACGCCGTAATCTTAATGGAAGATGCCGTGTTTTCATTACAGAAAATACACCTTTATTCGTTCGTATCATATCATCAAATATCGTATGTAAAATTTAAAGAAAATACTCAGTATTAGAACCCAAAACAGTACCTAATCCGTTAAATTAGACCAGTCCTTTTCTAACAAAAAAAAAACAATTGAAGAATTAAATTATTGTACAACTTGAAATCTTTTTAGATGATTCAAACTTCCCATTAGCATGCGATGTCGCATATAGCTACAGGAGATATAGTCAATGAGTTACAGGTATGAATTTACCTGCACCAGTTTTATAGGTCAGGCGGCTGAAGTTCGTTAATCTCTGAACTGACATTATTTTAGCCGGCGGCGGGCTACCATCGTATCGACAAGCCAAAAGGATCGGTCATTCTGGCGGTGTACCAAGGAACGCGAACACCGGCCTAACTAATGTTCATTTCGAGACCTAAGTTGGCATTTTGTCCAGTAATTGACTAATTCCCTACTAAACAGTAAAAACTGTAGCCAAAACTAAAAAGATAAAAGGGATATTTACTCAAAAACATAAACACTACAAGCTAACAACATCTTAACACATCTACTCAATATTACAAGATCGATCCATTTATGATAAAAAATCTACCAATAGATACTTATAAAACTTGACAAAATAACATAAAAGAAGCAACTACATAAATCGGATTGACCCTGTTAAAATTTTACATACTTGAACTGAACTAGTAAAAGAGATTGACATTTATACGCTATTAATCAGCATCATGTCATTTCAGAAAGATGAAACAGCTTTATGATTTAGCGTAGGCAGTATTTAAGAAATTCACTGCCAATATTTATGTCGAATATTTGTTTTTAGATTTAGGTCATTTATAATTTGGAAACAATTAGCACAAAAATATAGCATTTGAGAAACATTAACAACAAAGCGAGATTAACAGTAATATTATAGTATATTACTGTTTCTGAACATTCAAATATGCATTAAACAGGGTCCCGTGTAAAAGTAAGAAAGTAACAAAATTAACGTAGCTATAACTTTGGTTAGTGCCAACCTCTCTGTCCTTGGCTGTTAGTTTGATATGACGGTGCTGTCAGTCTTCCACGTCTTTCTCCTCCACTTCGCTCTATCTTCGACATCTGTGTTAAAAATGTTGTTAGTCAGCATGGTCTACGTATCTAGTACACTAACTTGACTTAGATTGAAAATTAACGAAACTTGTAGAAAATATAGAATTTGTTGAAGACACTTAGTAAAAAATAAACTTGAAATAGGGCTCTGCCAATGTCTTCATACAAGATTTTTCATGGAAATACAATTAACGGGATCACACGAAACGTCAACCATAGACAACAGACCAGCAGGTTACGATAGCGACATCTATATTGAGTTTTGAGTTCTTCTCTTCACTAAATTCCCGACGTCGTCGGTCGTCGATAATTTACAACATTGAACGGCAAGTTATTATTTGGCACAGCATAGATTGAACTTTCAGGTTTGAAACACAATTTTCGTTAAAATACGTACATGGTATATTATACTATTCACATGAGACTGTTACCAGTAATTCACATACAATTTAAATAGTAGAGTTACTGATAAGTGTTTACGTAGCATTAATATTGCTCACTCCATTCAGCCACATATATTTATCACTGACTAAAACTTAAATGCTGTAACAAAAAAAGACCTTCACACAAAATTTAAAATTATTTAATTTTGCAAATACGGCGTACTATTCCAATTAAAATGATTATTTCGCAAAGCCATATGTATTTCCATCGGCGGGAACGCATCGAAAGAGACGTTGCGAAATTCGCGTCAACAAGCGCCAAGCGCACCCAGGCGGGACTGCCTCAGAGGATGACGCCCCCAGATGACACCGTATAGACCGAAATAAATCTGCAAGCTAAACAAACCTGGCATTTCCGGCGAACACGTGTGCACTGACACAATTAAATTAATTTCCCTAAATTGCATACCGGTCACGAGTTAACAACACGTAAGCACAGCCCTGGTGGCCAGCGCGACCAAATTTCACTTTTGGCGACGATACGCCATGAATGGGCGCGTTGTTACGTAACTTGGCTTGGTCTTCGCTCCTGACTCATTTATACAGAATTAACATATGTGCAGTTGACTGGAGCCTCCGCAGCTGCACCGCATAAATCATAAATGGCAAATTCATGTGATTTGCCACTCTTTGGAAAATATTATCTAACATTTAATGTATAGGTTATGTTTATACATAAACATAACCTATACATTTTTGAGTTTTTATAGACAGGACATCGTAATGTTTAGTTATTAGCAAATTCGTTGTGATCAGTGAATAGATTGGCAAGACTTCATATAAGTATTTCTCTATAAATTATTGCTATGCATGAATTATTACCACAACGGCATGACGACCGATCTAGATGTTTGCCAAAATGAGGATTATTATTGACGCCACGTCTTGCAGGCATGCCAGACTCGCTTTTTTTGTTAATTTGTACGAAAAAGAAATATATTTCCCAATTCATTAGAAGAATGAGTAATAATCAGTTTAACAATGTATTGCGCGGCTAATTGAATTATGTTCCGGCTTTAACGAATCGGCAACAAAACATAAACAATGCATAAAAACGGCTATTTTTATCATCCGCCATGGCTGTATTACACAGAATGACTACAGAGAGAAGTTACATAATTTCCTAAAATAAAGTCGAAAGAATTAGAAAATGCACCATCTGTAGAGATAGATGTGGATTAGGTTCGTATGCACTGATTCACTGAACGAAAATCTTTTCTCTTGCATTTTAAAACATTGACGTCAAAATCGTTAATTTTGTACCAACCACTTACAGCGCTTATACTACGTCAAAGAGTAAATGATGTCCAAATAAATCTATTCCACAACACCTGAGACGGAATGGATTCTACAGTTTACATAGAGATATTATCAACAGGAACTTCTTACGTCAGGAATTTGGAATTTAATGGAGATGTTACATCAACTTACTTATTTTTTAAATGTAGAATACAGACATAAATATTTTTCTTTACAGACGTATGCTATGGAGATTACCATGCACATGGTAATACTGTGTACGTTTAACTAAACAAAACAAAAAACATGCTACGAAAATGTTCAACGTGTACGTGACATCCACTAAATAAAATAATCCAATAGATTCGGTCCCAATGCCGCACCGTCTGAGACACTCTTTATTTTAGAATATATTTGGGAATGCTTAACGTTGGATGCCGCGCAGCACATTAATTTAACAGATATGTCTTATGAAATCCACCGACACGCTCCCGGTCGAAAGCGTGCGTGGCGAGCTGTATTTTTATTGGACGTATATGTGAGAACACTTCATTATAAACTGAATTTTACTACGCCTACTTTATTAACCGATAACATATTTGTAGAATATTCTTTACATGGACTCAACAAAAAACTTAGATTTCATACATTAGCAAGGAACCATTCGGAAGAATTGCAACAATAAACTGTGGAATTGGGTTATTTCACGGGCCAGTAATCTCACAACACCAATGCGATCTTTCGTGACTCAGCGCTTAGCTGCATCGTTAAATATGATTGCGTTAATTTCATTACGAGCTTTTTAAATTTGAACCGCTGAGCAGTTTCTGATATAAAATTTTCACACCTGCATCTAACTTTCAACCAAACATATTTTAATTACATTTATGAAAAAATCATACGTATATCTACTGTCCAGCAAAAGTACCGATTATTTCTTGTGAAATAAAAACAAATACTTTTCTAATTTTAGCTGGATGAGAATGGGAAAATCTATCATGTTGAGTTTCAGAATATTATTTTAGACATTCTGGCCGAAATATGTCTACACTTGCATGTTGCATAATTAATGGCCGTCAGCTTTAATTCTATGAAGAATTTTATCTCGTATATATTTTAAGATGTTGTTTAAAAATAAAGTTTTGTTATGGATGCAGTTTTAACTGTCTTTGACAAGTTAACAGTTATAATAAATAACCTATGTCAACCTTTAGTTGTATAAAAATCCTGTCAAAATCTGAGACCGAACCAGAGATCTTTGGTTAACATCGGATCCAAAATTTGGCTGAAAAACAAATATTTCAGAAGTTTTGTTGATAATAACAAATTATATTTTAAATGTATAAATTTTACTCAACTAATCATAACGTGCAAATAGAGCTAATTGATATAAATTCAGAAATTGAAAGTGGAATCTGTAAGTACTTGTCACGGGTCCAAGATGCTGTCAGCAGATAACGGTAATATGGTTCATGTGGTCGGCGCACCTAGCTAATCGCTGTCGACGACACCTCCGCGTTAATCATACGGTCATGCTGTACGGCCGACGCGACATATGGCTACGAAACCGTCTGAATGTATATGTAGAGAGCTTCGAAGCTCACGTCGTTATTGGAAATGCATTTGGCAGTAAACCACGGCCGTACACAATCTGTGTATAGCGTAGTAAATATAATGTGCCAGTACGTCGATTACCTTCCAGAACAACATACGATTACATATACGTAGCGAACGCATCACCTACTACTAAGTATAGTGAATGATAAATTACTAAATTGATAATTAATTGGTGTTTCAGAAGAACTTGCACCTGTCGTTTTATTATTTTTTGAAAAGAAAAGTATAGAACCCGCGTAAAGTAACACAACGAGGTCAAGGTGGCGATTTAGAACGAGGACGTGCCGGCTAATTACTCAGCCATCGACAATAATACATATGCCATGGAAAATAACAGTGGTGACGGAAGACATCAATTTAGGGCAAATATCTCAATATACATCTCTACGTGGGGTAAGTAAACCGTGGTTTGCTTGAACTAAACTGAATGTTGAAACATTTCTCACACCGACAACAGCCAGGTGATGATTGTTGTATCAATTACAATTACCTCTAATAAATTGTTCACATTAATTAAAGGATTTTTAAATAATTTATTACACGTCATACTTGTTACGTTTTAATGTTAATAGATAGTTTAGATTGAACAAGTGGTTTATACATGAATTACACAACTACAGACAGTCAGTGCCAAAATTCTATTTGTGACGACAAACCGAGACGGGTATATTTAACTGCCACCCATAAACTGTCGAATAAGCACTGCATCTGACAAAACACAAAACAATCAAACGGGACAAGATTCACAACAACTGAAACCGACAAAGTAATGGCTAACACTATATCTACCAACTGCTGGCTATAATTTTGACGATTTAAATTCCTCATATTTACTCCTATACATTTTTGAGTTTTAAGCATTCAGTAAGACACAACGCTAACCCATTTTCTTACAGTTTACTTTTACAGCTTGCGTAGGATGATATGCTGCTGATAGATATGTAGGCACAGTTTCTGTACTAGCTTGTTTTAAATAAATAAATGGCAAGCACTACAAAAATACACGCTCAGTGCAACATTGTTATCACATTCGTAACACTTACGGGCAAACAAGGTGGATACATCGAGTATCGAAGTATCTGACATACGTAGGTGCTCCAACTAATCCGACACTCAGTTTAAAGTGTTACGGTGTTATTGTGCGGTTAATACAATCGCAGTAAAGCACTGCAACAACAACTGCCACATAATGCAATTTAAGCAGCTTGAGTCAGAGATAATGCCGCTTTAAGCATACATTGTGTACGAGCTACTGTTCTTGGAATAATTATGAGTTTGTTTGCGACTCCTCAAACCAAACATTCCGTTCCTATGTGCGGAACGCAGTACGCACGACCTATAACACTACAGCCGCGACGCCGACGCTTGTTGCATAAATAGACTCATTTCTTGGATGGAAATTCACTTTTATTTTAAGGCCATCATGGAAGACGATGAAAACGTAGTCAACTAGTCACTGTACTATTTTTCGTGAAAAACAACGAAGCATGACGCCCATGAAAGCAAACTATAAAAAAATACGATTAGTCCGCCGTGACGGTATAACACAGTTATTTTCAACAGACAAAACTCGAATAAGCCAAGAATACGTAATGAACCTAATAAGATATACAAATTAAGAATTCGGTAGCATTTTCGTTTTCGGTAAAGGCAAGAAAAAAAATGAAGTCTGATAAATCTGCTAATAAATATTCTTTAGCCTACTTTTTA